TTTCACCGAGCTCTGTTCGCATTGTCTGACTGTAGTTAAATTTAAATGCCAGTAGGCGAGGCGGCAAGGACTTCCACTCGGGGCATGGCCATAAATTAAATAAAATGAAATGAAATAATTTGGTCACGCACTTTCAACTGTTGACATTTGGCCTTAACGGCTCCGCCCAGAAAGATTGTTATTACGGATAATCCAGGCGCGGGGGCCTTTAAGTCGCTACATTGATCCCGCTGGAGTCGGGAAATCAATGTTTTATACGCTGCTCGGTCCATGCAAAATGGTTGCAACTCGATGCCGTTGGCAGTGCTGCATATTTATGGGCCACCGAATGTCGGCAACATGCAGCCATGCGAAATCCACTTCATGACCGAAAATTAGTTTTTAACCCACAAAATAATCCGGAATGACATAAGGATGGTCGCCGGTGGCGGGGAGAAAAGCGCAAAAATAAAAAGCCGGCAACCACAGCGAACATATTACAGTGGCGGACCAGGACCCTTCGTCCTGTGGCCCTTAGTCCATAGTCCTTGCTTGCCGGAAGTTGTAAAGCTGCCATTTCTCGGCCATGTTGTTGATGTTGCCACTGCCACCGACTTGGCTTTTCCAGCAACGATTCGCGGCCTCGTAATGCGGTCATTGTTATTGCAATTGTTGTTTCTGCCGCTGCTGCTGCCTGGCAGTGGTAGTTGTTGCCGCGTTGTAGTAGCGCATTTGTTGTATTAACTTTTTCCAAGTGGCATGCAGGGCCAGCAGCGGTGGCAGCCCCAACAATACCTCTCGAACGCCACCCCCGACGTGGGCCATAATTTATTAAAGCCTGCACCAGAGTGCTCCAGCGTCGGGCCAGCGCCCCCGGCACACAATTGAAATTTAAGCAGCAGCAGCAGCAACAGCAGGGTGGCAGAGGGCAGAGGGCAAAGGGCAGCGCTCCAGCAAAGTTGCAGAAAATGCGAAACACTGGAGGAATTCCCCATCCCTCCAATTTCACCACTGCCCCGCCTGCAACGCGCCACCAGGGAAAATGGTAATCGAAATGTTCGCCGCACGAATCAACGCAAACAAGGCATACAGAGAAAAAAATATATATTAAATATTGCCACAATCCATACGATTAATTAAAAAAATATTTTACTTATTTATATTTGTATAATTTCATCCTAGTATACAAATATTTAAGAAAAACCTATATATATTTGGAATTTGGTTTTGATATCTGCACTAGTAGATACATATATGATATTCTAACTTATTATGATACCAAATTTGGAATGATTAATTTTTGAATAAATTATCAAGCTAATTGTTAAAAGGATAAGAACAATAAAAATAATAATATTTCATTTTATTTACTATAACTCAACTACTCTTCCTGATAAGTTTCAACCAAAATGTAGGATTTGAAATCAATTTACCAAGAACTACATAGACGTGACTGATTTTTTAGTTGGTTGCTAAAACAGGGGATCTCTTAAAATTTTTTGTTAGCTTTTTACAATTTTACCAAATTTTGTAGGTATTTATTTCTCTCAAATTATAATGGATTAAAAAAGAAGTATGACCCATTTAGGAGAACCTTTTCCCAGTGCAGCGCTGAGCAGCGGTGGGAGTTGGCCTGCAACACTGGCCAGTTTCCAGTCAATGTCTTGCCTCCTCCGCCGCTTTTCCCTTCTTTTTTTCTGGCCTCCTTCTGCAGTCAAAGTTTTTGGTCGAAAACTTTTTGGGGTTCGGGGAAATAATTCATGAAACATGGCGAGCGCGAAACGCGAAAAGCGAACATTTTTGTGCCTGTGCCGAATCTGATTGTGACACAAACGAATTGTTCTGGTTGTCGTCGTCGGAGTTTTGGATGTGGAGGAGGTCCTGGTAGGTCCTGGTTGCTCCTGGTAGGTGGGACAAGAACAGGAACAGAACCGCCGGTCGGTCGCATATTTATGTGCCTATTTCGCGTTTTTTCTATGTGCCCGGGAGCATTACTCTTCTTGGCATGCAAATTTATGGTGTGTCCCAAAACAATTGTTATTGTGTTTTCAACTTTTGCTTGATTTGTGTGTTTTAAGTGATTCCAAATGGGTCGCCGGGGATTGAGCGGGGTGTCCACGGGGTCTGTTGGCAATTTGCGGCCATGAGGAGGTTCCCGATCCCCAAAAATCCCAAAAAACCCCCAAACCGCCAATGGCTGATAATTTCTTGGCTGTCATCGGGCCAGACGCGCGCCGCATATCTCAATGCAATTCTAAGCACCCAATAACCATAAAACACTTTAAAGTCCAACCGAACTATGGCTATTTCGTCCGCTGGATTCCCCACTGACTTTTGTTTATTTGTATTTCCGCAAACAATTCGACTGGCAGGGCAGTCCTTGCAAACTTCTGCGGCCATGCAATTGTTGCCACTATTCTAGTTCCCTGGCTTTCTGGTTACTTCTCGGTTTTGGCAGTAGGCCACTTCCTGCAGTCGCCGCGGAGTAAGTTCAGCTGCGTCCGCATGCAATTCGTGAATTTTTGAAGGCACTTCTTTTGTTATTCCGGCTCCGGAATCCTCCTCCACCAGCTTTTCCCCACCCGACTTGCAATATGCAAACGGTCATTTCGTTAATGAGCGTGGGGCAACAGGAGGAGGAGGTTTAGGGGGTAAAAAAAAAATAAAATAGGAAAAGTCAGGAGCAGCAGCAGCGAACTACAACTTTTACGGGGCATCCGGCGGATGAAGAGGGTTTTTGAGATAGAAGAGGAGAAGGAGGTGGCACTGGCGGAAGGACCATGACCGGTAGGCAATGGCTATAAAGCCGACTGCTTAGATAGACAGCAGCCCCTGTGTTCCCAGTCTGCTGGCCGGATGACTTGGTTTATTTTACGTAATGAAATGAAATTGAAATGAATGTTTTATAAACCGCCAGCGCTGTTTTCCCCACTCACCTCCCCACTTGCAGCTATCATAAAATTATGATAAAAACTAAGAGCTACATATAAACATAATTGCAATGTTTTTTTCCAAGCCCCCACCTTCGTGTTGGATTTTTCAATACAAATCATTGTAAATGCTTTAAACTGTTCACCGTGAATTAACATAATTAAAAGACCCGCATAAATATTTATGAGCAATTTGCAATTACGTGTGTATAAAGATAAATACGAGTGAGCCGAAATAGTTGAGGGACTTTACACATTGAATTTGTATGCAATTGTGCGACATAAAAATACATATCGAAATCCTTCGTATAAAAGAATTGCAAGGAGCAGAGTCCAGGGATTTAATTAAATTTGGCTTAATGTTGTCACCGCAAGAGAGTTGCTGCTGCTTGTTGCATGTTGCTGCTGTGGCTGCCGGCTGGAATTCGGTTATTAAACATTCTGTGGATTCTCCTCACGGTTTTCATAGGCCAAGAATTTATCGAATTCAATTAGTATGGAGAGCACAGTCTCGCCTTGCCCGCTGCGAAGAATTATGAGTCTGATATTACCCAAAAAGGATATTTGACTTACCTATTGGTTAAATCTTTGAGGGTTATTTTAAGCGGATCCTTGGGCCTGACCATGTCAAATATCTCATCCTTGAGGTCCTGAAAATTCACGGCCTCCGCCTTCAAAGTTTTAAAGCGCGCTTCAATGCCAGCGTAGAAATATCGCAAGGTTTGGGCTGTCAAATATCCCTGCTGATTTATGTCTAGGATACGGAAAATATAGTGCAAGGCTGGGAGAGACTTTAAGGCTTGATTTTTAAAGGTTTTCAAAGGAGTATATGAAAGGACTTCTTACTTTTCGATTTTCCATTGCAAAGTGAAAGTCTAGAAAGGTTTTGTAATCCATTTTTCCACTATAAGTACGACACACCTCAAATGCTCGATCCAGAAAAATAGAGGTTAGACTACCAGAACCGTATTTAGACAGCTCCTTCTTGCTCAGCATACCGTCATGGTCCTTATCCAAATCGAGATACTTTTCGTACACCCCCAAGATAGCGGGCATTGAAAAACAGTTTGTCGTCTCGTTTTCCTTTGCATCTTTATAGTTTGGTTTATCACTTAGGGCTAGTAACTGCGATAGCAATCCCGAGGATACTATATCCCTAATTCGTATACGTCGCATATGAAGATGGTCCAGGAAGAAGAAAAACTTCTTTACCAACGTACACACGTAAAATCTCTCGAAAGAGGGCTGCAAACAATCTCGGATTTGTGTCAGCTTGGGTATAATGTCTGTGATATAACTCTCGAGATCGCTTTCATTTAGATATCCTTGCCCCAAGTCATCGTAAGAAGAAAGCCCAATGCGTCCTTGGATGACCGAAACCCTTCGTATTATATGATTATAAATAGAGACGATATCCAGCAGGCCAGGATAATTAGAGGATAGCATCAGTTCGAAAAAAAGTGCCACTGTCATTAACTTTTGACACTTGGCACCTACTTTCGAAACGACTATCAAATAATTATCCAAGTTGATGAGTTGCCGCTTTGATCTCGTAGTTTTAGTCACATGCATTTCAAGGGTCCTCCACAGATCATTTAAATCCTCCGCATTGAGAAGCTCCTCCGCCTGATCCTGTAGAAAAAGCGAATGGGCCTCTCGACGCAGCAACTGACGGGTTTTATCCTCTGGTTTTGGTGGGGGATCAAAGAATTTCGGTATTTGGTTATACGAAGGGTGATCCATGATCCTAAGATCCTTATGTTCTGTATTCTTGTCAGAACGATTATCGAAAGCCTCGACGGCACACATTTCCAGCTCCATGAAAAGATGTTTTTTTCAACGAAGCAAAACAAAATAATCAACATCTGTTTACATATATGACAAAGTTTGACAAGTGAATTTTCTTCCAATGAAAATATATTAGTTTAAAATACAAAATTAGAAACCAAAATATATTTTAATATTTTAAAAACTGAAACAATATAGAAAATAAAATATTCAGGCTAAAAGAAACAAGCAATTTTACAGTGAACTTTCAACGAATAAATTTAACATGGACTCGATTTAATTCGCTCTTATTTCTAATTTCAGGTTCCACCATTAAGGGCGTCGTGGCCATACTGAATTGTATCCTGGCACGTCAGCTATGTTTCGAGGATCCCTCATGTTCGGCCATATTGGAAATAATACCGCGCGTCTGCGGGCCCATACCAGGTAAATAAACAAATAAACCGGCCTGCAAAACATCATGCAAATCAAATCGATACTTTTACCGCGCACCGATGAAATGTTTACACAAAATCTATGGGTTTTTGTGTCAAGTGTTTGCAGAGCTCTCGGGAACTTGCGGCGACCAACGCTGATTATGCGCAAGTTTTGGTCATTTGAGAATTAATTTCCGCTGCCAGTGCGAGTCGGTTGAATATATTATATTTTCCCTTTGTTTTTATTTGCTCGGGGGCTTTTTGTGTGTGGAGCCGCATCGACAACTGTGTAATTATTTCAGCAATTTTTGTGTGTTCCGTGAGCAGGCGCGCGTGCCATAAAACAGTAAATAACAGTGTACACTTAAAGCGCAACAGAAAGCCAGAAGGAGATCGGCCACGAAACGCCAGCGAACGGCATTTGAATATTCAAATGCCCCAGAGAGTCGATGGCCTGTTCCTGCAATACCCTGTACGAAAAGGAGTAATGGGGAGTGATGGGGTGTATTGCACTCTGGCCTACTGTGCGTATGAGAAATATTTGAAACCACAAATACTTGCAGAAGGTGTTCATTCCAGCGATAGAGATATGAAAGTTATTTTAAAGCAATTATTCAATAAGATTCTTCATTATTTAAAGTAAACAAATGTTTAAGTTTGGCGATTTTCTTAAAGGCATTCACAGTACAATTTTTACATTTATTATATGAACTTAAGTTCTCTCGAAAAGATGAACTTAAAATATTTTTATAAATTTAAAGCTTCGCCTGAAAATGTTTATAAATAAGAGTTGGAACAAAATTAGGAAAGCCTGCTATAAAAAAGCAAAAACAGAAAATCTCAAATAATTATTATAAGAAAAACCGTTTAAAAATGTATCCATTTCATGGAATAAACACATTTTATAATCTTTAAAAATAGGAAAAAGATACCTTTTGATAAATGATTATTTAACCTATTATTCTGCTTATTTTCACTTAAAGTACCTACAAATCAAGCTGGTGGGTATTTCTTTTTCCAACATTTGACTTTTAATATCCTGTTTGTTTTTCTCTGGCGGAGTGAGTGAATGTGTGCGGTGGGCGCACATGACCTGAAGGTGCAAAATGAAAAAGAAATGCGTGGCTGGCGGCGTCCTTCTTATCCGGGTACCCACATTCACATTCACATTCACATCCCCCACCACCAGTCAACCTGGCCACCTTGCCACCCACTTTATTCACCTGCCACCTATTCATTCTGCCGCTCAAACAAAGGCCAGCGACGAACGAATGAGCGCGCCGCAGAAAAAGTTAATTTATAAATTATTCAGTAATTTGTTTTAGACTCTGCTTTAGCCGGTGCCCCACCCACCGCGACGGCAACAACAATGGAAATAAATTTCTTTTGTACCTCGCTTTGATCCGCCCTCATTCAAAATGTGTATCTAAGCCGGGACTTTTCCGCGAGCACTATCCACCGACCACTCATTCCCGGTTCTGTTCCCCGTCATGGTCGCGTAGTTTGTGTCCTGTTTGGAGGAGCTCGAAAGCCCGGCCCCGAGTATCGTGCGCATAAGTCCGCTCTTATATTTAATTATTAATGTTCATTCAGTCCGGCCAGCGTCTTGTGGCATTTCTCAGCTTTTGCCAAGCTCCTCCGCCCGCCGACCGCCATGCCAAGCCATCATCATCCGGCACCACGTTGGCTTCCATTTAAGTGGCTTTCACCTTTGTGTGGCTGTGGAGGAACACGGCGAAAAAATCGCATTTAAAACGGAGCATTAACGGCTTTAGTTTGCTCGAGGCCAGCTTTCTCTTTTCTTTGTGCACTCGAAAAAAATAATAAACATTGGAACCCTGAGTCAATCCGGCAATCAACTTTCAAAAGATTAAGGTTTTTAAATTTTCTTAAAACTTAATAACTGTCACTTAAAAATAATTATTTTTTGTCCAATTTTCGTGTTTTTTAGGGGAGACATCTAATTTTTTGCAAAAAATGGCAAAAATAAAAAATTTCTAGGTTTGAGTGCCAGCGGATTGGAATTTTAACAACGAGCTCAAAGAGGTATGACATTTCTCACTCGGAAGTTTGGTTGCATTATGGCGGGCAAAACACTGATTTTTTAGGTCGAAAAAATTCAATTCAAATTTTAGTCAAAAATACAACATTTTTAAGCGGTTTTTTGATCGCAGTTTAGCCAAATCAAGGCGTACAGCTAAAAGACCGACTGTTTTGAGCAGCTTGCTAAATATGCTAACGATCCTTATCACTTTTAGAAAAATCTATTTTTTGACCAATTTTCTCAATTTTTGTAAAGGTTGCATCACTTTTTTGCGAGAAATGGCAAAAATTAAAAATTTTTAGGTTAGAATGCCAATCGATTGGAAATTAAGCAACGAGCTCAACGGGGTATGACATTCCTCATTCTAACTTATATTTTTGTTATGGCAGCCAAAAAACTGAATTTTTATGGCGAAAAAAGGGTAAAATTTTTTGTCAAAAATACAAAATTCAGATTTTTGTCAAAAATTCGACATTTTTTTCCGGTTTTTTCATCGTAGTTCAGCCAAATCAAGGCGTACAGCTAAAAGACCGACTGTTTTGAACAGCTTGCTAAATATGCTAACGATCCTCATCACTTTTACAAAAATTTATTTTTGGACCAATTTTCTCAATTTTTGTAGGGGTAGTATCACTTTTTTTCAAAAAATGGCAAAAATTATAAATTTTCGGGTTGAAATGCCAATCGATTGGAAATTAAACAACGAGCTCAACGAGGTATGACATTCCTCATTCTGGCTTTTATTTTTGCTATGGCAGCCAAAAAACTGAATTTTTATGGCGAAAAAAAGGTTAAATTTTTTATCAAAAATACAAAATTTAGATTTTTGTCAAAAATTCGACATTTTTTTCCGGTTTTTCCGTCGTAGTTCAGCCAAATCAAGGCGTACAGCTAAAAGACCGACTGTTTTGAACAGCTTGCTAAATATGCTAACGATCCTCATCACTTTTACAAAAATTTATTTTTGGACCAATTTTCTCTATTTTTGGAGGGGTTATATCACTTTTTTTCAAAAAATGGCAAAAATTAAAAATTTTCGGGTTGAAATGCCAATCGATTGGAAATTAAACAACGAGCTCAACGAGGTATGACATTCCTCATTCTGGCTTTTAGCCAAAAAACTGAATTTTTATGGCGAAAAAAAGGTTAAATTTTTTATCAAAAATACAAAATTTAGATTTTTGTCAAAAATTCGACATTTTTTTCCGGTTTTTCCGTCGTAGTTCAGCCAAATCAAGGCGTACAGCTAAAAGACCGACTGTTTTGAACAGCTTGCTAAATATGCTAACGATCCTCATCACTTTAATTTAATAATTTATTTTTTGACCAATTTTCTCAATTTTTACATTACTTTTTTTCAAAAAATCTCAAAAATTAAAAATTTTCAGGTTGAAATGCCAATTGATTGGAAATTAAACGAGGTATGACATTCCTCATCTGACTTATATTTTTGTTATGGCAGCCAAAAAAACTGAATTTTTATGGCGAAAAAAGGGTTAACATTTTTGTCAAAAATACAAAATTCAGATTTTTATCAAAAATTCGACATTTTTTCCCGGTTTTTCCGTCGTAGTTCAGCCAAATCAAGGCGTACAGCTAAAAGACCGACTGTTTTGAGCAGCTTGCTAAATATGCTAACGATCCTTATCACTTTTAGGAAAATCTATTTTTTGACCAATTTTCTCAATTTTTGTAAAGGTTGCATCACTTTTTTGCGAGAAATGGCAAAAATTAAAAATTTTTAGGTTAGAATGCCAATCGATTGGAAATTAAGCAACGAGCTCAACGGGGTATGACATTCCTCATTCTAACTTATATTTTTGTTATGGCAGCCAAAAAACTTAATTTTTATGGCTAAAAAGGGGTTAACATTTGTGTCAAAAATACAAAGTTCAGATTTTTGTCAAAAATTCGACTTTTTTTTCCGGTTTTTCCATCGTAGTTCAGATAAATCAAGGCGTAAACCTAAAAGACCGACTGCTTTGGGCAGCTTGCTAAATATGCTAACGATCCTTATCACTTTTAGAAAAATCTATTTTTTGACCAATTTTCTCAATTTTTGTAGGGGTTGCATCACTTTTTTGCGAGAAATGGCAAAAATTAAAAATTTGTAGGTTAGAATGCCAATCGATTGGAAATTAAGCAACGAGCTCAACGGGGTATGACATTCCTCATTCTGACTTATATTTTTGTTATGGCAGCGAAAAAACTGAATTTTTATGGCGAAAAAAGAGTTAAATTTTTTGTCAAAAATACAAAATTCAGATTTTTGTCAAAAATTCGACATTTTTGTCCGGTTTTTCCATTGTAGTTCAGCCAAATCAAGGCGTACAGCTAAAAGACCGACTGTGTTGAGCAGCTTGCTTAATATGCTAACGATCCTTATCCTGTGTTGAGCAGCTTGCTTAATATTCTAACGATCCTTATCACTTTTAGGAAAAATTTTTTTTTATAAATTTTCTCAAATTTTGTAGGGGTTACATCACTTTTTTCCGAAAAATGTTAAAAATAAAAAATTTCTATGTTTGAATGCCAGTGTATTGAAAATTAAACTACGAGCTCAACGAGGTATTACACTCCTCACTCGGACGTTTTGTTGCCATATGGCAGCCAAAACACTGATTTCTTAAGTCGAAAAAATGAAATTCAGATTTAAGACAGCAAAATATAGCAACTCTTGAAACTTAACTGAACAACTCATATTTTTTTTGAGTGCACATGTATTTTATTTTGATTTATTTTCCACTGCGGCTCATTTCCGTTCTCGAATAAGCAGAGGAATCGGGAATAAAAGGCCATGGCCTTTACGGCTGGGGCTTGGACCACTCGACGCAGAGGATCAAGTGGTCGTAGCCATGGCCATTAAGGACTTCAATGGCGGCGGCTGCATCCTGACGGAACTTAAAGTGCACATAGGCGAATCCCTTGCAGAGACCGGTGTTCTTTTCGCGAGCCAGATACATCTTGGTGTGGGGTCCGATTTTCTTCACCAGCTCCTCGAGATCGGCCTCGGTCATGGATTCGGATAGGTTTGATATACGAACTGCCGACGAATCGTCCCGTTCGCGACCCCAGTTTTTACCAGAGGCGCCGACCCCGCCGTCCTTCATGAAGGGCGGCACATATTTTCCCGTCTTGCTCGGATCATTGATGGCGGCAGCAGCCGCCGCATTGGCCTTGGACTCCATCAGTGTCTTGCTGTCCATGGAGGTGCCTTTGTAGGGACAATTGACACTCCAGTGTTCGCCGTTGCAAATGCGACACTTGGCGATGTTCTTGCCGGCATCCAGTTGAGTTTCGTGGGATTGATCAAAGTCCTTGGAGCCAATGAACTGCATAAAGACCTCCTCTGAGGCCATGGTCGTCTGGGAATTGGGTCCGGGCTTGTCCAAACGGGAATCCCCGAACTTCACCCAGCTGCGACGACGGGCCACCGCCTTCGGAACGATCTGCTTCTCGATCTTGAAGGTGCGCACCACCTTCACCTTCTTGCCATCCTCGTTGAACTTGTACTCCGTCACGTACTTGTAGTCACCCTCGATGTACTCGTTCGAAGGCGGCAGACCATCCACGTAGTCCGCCTCCACCTCATCAGCCCAGGATGTATTGAAGGTTTTCATTTTTCGAGATATGTAACTTTACTCCGAAATTGATCAAAAGTCAGTGAGATACTGTGCTGACCTACTTGACTCTCTCTTGAATTTTACGGGGTAGCCTATTTGGATGGAATATGTGTTACAAAACTTTCTTTCCAGGTCTTTTTAGCCTATTAAGCCATTATCTTAATAAATAAACCATTTTTAACCATGTATTTTTTACAAATTTAAAGAAAATTAATTTAATTTGTTTAACAGTTTTGTATTTACATCTTCAGTAAGACTCATATTTTAAAACCATAGCATTTCAAATAAAGAGTGCCACTGTAAAGGAATCCTTATCACCGGCTTAAGAGATAACGAGAGACAAGAAAATCCAACTATAAATATTTCCTTATCGCCGGCCTTACGGAGAATGAGAGACGATTGCTCTCTCAACTGATAATAGTCTTCTTGGGTCTGACCTGAGCTCAACTCAGCATTTGTGTTATTAGTTTACTTTCACTTCTCTAACCGGTCGGTCGTTCTATTTTCTATAAAATGCTGCTCTTAAAGCATCCGAAAACCGGTCAAAGTCTGGAGATCTATGAGTTTTGGCTCCGTGATCATTGTCGCTGCGGAGAGTGTCTAAATTTTGATACCAATCAACGGCGTTACGATATTTTGGATCTGCCAGCGGATGTAAAACCGGTAGAGGTTAAATACGAAGGCTTGATGCTACAAGTGAAGTGTGGGTGGAAAATATATAACTCTATTCTCAGCATCATTTAATATATTTATAAAATCTTAGGGAGTGACGACCACCAGTCTAGCTATGACCTGGACTTTATATTCGAGTCTCAGCTGGAACAGTTGATAAGTCGGCGATCAAATTCCACTACTCTGACGCCCTGGAATCGCAGCATTATCTTGCAAAACGAACAGCACTTGCGATTCTCCTTGCCCCAGCTGATTTCCAGTGATGATAAAGTAAAATGCCTGGTTGAATCTCTGGTTCGATATGGCATTGTCTTCATTGATGACGTGGCTCCCACACCAAATATGACCGAGCTGGCCCTGCGAGCTGTTTTCCCCCTAATGAAAACTTTCTTTGGTGAAATGTGGACCTTTAGCGATAAGCCCGATCATGCGGATACCGCTTACACAAAACTTTACCTGGGCTCCCATACGGATAATACCTATTTCTGCAATGCAGCTGGACTTCAGGCCCTACATTGCATCGAACACTCGGGTTCGGGTGGCGAAAATTTCTTTGTGGATGGTCTGTATGTGGTAAACGAATTGAAGCGTCGATTTCCCGCCGCCTATAATCTGCTGTGTAGAGTTCAAGTTCCTGGGGAGTATATAGAAAAAGGGGAGCATCATCGCCACACGGCTCCTATTATACAGGTGGATCCACTGACTCAGGAATTTATTCAACTCAGGCTGAATGTCTACGATCGCGCTGTGTTCGATACTATTCCACAATCCGAGATGACCTATTTCTATGCCAGTCTTCGTCAGCTCTTGAAGATTGTTAAGGATGAAGAGCAGCAGTGGAGTCTGAAGCTAAATCCTGGAAGCATCGTGCTTTTCGACAACTGGAGAGTCCTTCATGGTCGCCATGCCTATACAGGAAGTCGTACTATGTCTGGTTCCTATGTGCAGCGTACCGATTTTCTCAGCAAGGCTCGTGTCTTGGGAATTATCGAATAAATACTTTGAAAAAATATAAATATTATAACTAAGTACTAAATAAAATTAATGAATTTTTTAGGAACAACTATTGTCTATGCTAAATATTGTTATATTCACCACAAATCATTTAATCATCAGAACCGAATGTTATACATGAAATACTTTGTGTTCTGCAGACTAGACATGATGTAACTACGAATTCTTCGTCTGAGCCGAGTTCTTTTCCAATTCAATTTCGATTGCAAATGCCAACGCATCATAATAAAAAGTTACGATTACAATTGCTGGCCAGCGTCTAATTTTTGTCATAGGGGAGGTATACGAAGCGCATACAAAAAACCGGCAACAAAAATCATTTGGCATTTGTTTTTATGGCCAACGTCTCATGCGTGAGTGTGTGTGTGTGTGGCATAAACAAACGCACTTTGAACTTTTTCATTTAAAAGTGAAATTACTTTTTGTTGGCCGTGCAGGTTAATGGCTGTCGCGTTGCCGTCCTTTAAATGTCCTCCAAATATGGATGTGCCTTAAAGAGAGCGAACGAACAGGGTCTGAATATTTATGATAATTGCATTTCATGCAGGTTTTCCCGCCCGCTTTTCCCGTATTTCAGCCATTTCCCTCTCATATGCGCCGGCACGACCGGGAAAAGCCTTTAAAAGCAGCTTCGATGCCCCAGCTGGGCGATAAATATATATATTTTTGTTCGCTTTTCCTTCGCCGGAAGTTGCAGCGCAGCAGTCGTGCCTTTGCATGGCATACTTTTCGGCATTCCACTTCCGTTTTAAAACGCTGCACTCACTTTGAGCCACCAGCCACCGGGGCACTTGTCGATGTTTCAATAAAATCAACAAGCACACACACACACACACACACTGCCACACGGACACAAAGGACACACACACACACACGTATGTGACTGGCCAGGAAACAGGACATTCCGGCCGAAAATAGTGCAAACACAAAGCGCCTGCTTAAATCACTCGTAATTAATATGCTCGATAATAATTCATATGCCCTTGAATGGCCAGCTAAACTTAATAAATGACTCATAAATTTCACCTACAGGCGGCAATAAAAAGCCAAAAAATAATAAAAACAATGGTCGGGGCAGAGAAAACAAATGCCAAACTAAAATCAAATAAAACAGGGCAGAAAAAAGTGGCGGGCAAACACACATAGTCACTCGGGCAACAACAAACAAACAAACAAAGAAATCATTGAACCAATTCAGCGACCAACTCAACAACCGGAAACGCGTTTCGAATAAAAACGAATTGAGGACTTAACAATAACAGTAAAAGGCAAGGGCAATGGCGGCGGTAGGGCAAAAAAAAAGAGGAAAAACAGCAACACAAACGGCAAATGGCGTCGGTTGATGGCGACGAAGCATAAAAACCACTCGCCTTGGCTTTATTTTTTATGACCGCCCAGCATGCAATGACGAAACCAAAGCCAGGTGCCACTGGCCAAGAGGAACCGCTGGCCAGGAGCTGCGGGCCAAGAGCAAGAATCTAGTTAACTGGCCATCAAATGCACGCAGCACACGGGGAGAAAGAACTTGGGTTCTTAACATTTACCTAAAATCTTTATTTTAAAAATAGGCAATATTGGGATTTTAAGTTGTCAAATTTAGTATTTCTTCTTTTGTTTTATATAATTAAAACAAGAAGTACCCTTGACGAACAAATATTCTATTATCTTAGAAGCTAAAACCCTTTAGGTTCCAACTTCTTTGTTCTATACTCATTTTGCATACCTATAAAGTAAATAGGTATAAATGTAAAACTCTCCTACAAACTAAAATTAATTAATTAAAATGTGAAAGTCCTGCAATACATTTATTTTGAAATAAATTATGTTCATGAAGTCGTAGTTTTTAAAATAAGTAGACAGCTTTTTTTGACATTTTTAGTAGAAGGATTACCCAACAAAAGCGTTATTTCATATTTCTTTGTGATTTGTTTGTGATATAATTGTGATCCGCACATACCAGCTCTAATTGACACAAAAAATCCCTCTCAAAAATAAAAACATTTCTCTTTTAATAACCCTACGACTTATCAATCGTTAGGAATTTATTTGGAAATGTTGTCAAACCATATTTGTATGCTTTCAAAGCAGCCTTTTCCATTTCCTTGTGTAAGAACATAAGTACTCTGCGTTTCTCCCCTGATCCACAGCCAACGAGTTTTAATTGACACCACGAAGGAACCCAAAAAAAGTCCCCAAATCCAAAGACCCCCAAGGATATTCGGAAAAAAAAAACCGTGCGGAACCAAGGGGCATAAAAATGATGGATGCCTGTGAAAAATGTCACTTGTTGCGCAGTGGATGCGAATGTTCCGATGTGTGTTGGCCAACATCCAGAATCCCCCCCCCCCCCCATTCGGAAGCAACTTTATGTTCAACTAGCAAATAATCATGTCCGGTCTGCATGGGACAAGGGCGTTATTGGATAGGTCGTAGGACAATCACAGGGGTTACCGAAAGGGGGGTGTTCAGTTCAGTTCGGTTCGGTTCGGTTCGGGTCAGTTGAGTGACGTGAACCACATGGTTCCCACACCCACCACTACCACTTCCACTTCCCATTATCCCGGACTCCATACTCCATGGACGCCCATTGTCCGGCAGTTTGCTTGTTTTGCTTTTTGGCGATTTTACGGCTCATGACGAGCCAAACGAGTCCCTGTCCCTCCACGTGTATTTGTGTGCGTCTCCGGCTCTGCTGGCCTGTGTTTGTGAAGTGTCGGCGTAGCCGGGTTTATTAGTAGGGCTTATGTTTTATGGCCAAAAGGACAATGGATGGCCAACAGATGTTTGCCCTTTGTTTGTCGTAGTAGTAGTTGTCATATGCTCGAATAAGCTGTCACACACCCACCACGTATGGTCTATGTGTAACATAATTTATTATGTTATAAAATATTATCCGGGCCACGTTCCAAGCGCTTCGCAACGCTTCATTGGCCGCTTAAATCGACCGTTTTGTTTGGAGACTCAATTATTCATACAGTAGTTGTTATAACCCCCCCTTCTTTGGCTCTTATTATGACATGTGTCTGGTTTGTAGTTGTCTGCCTGCCATTTATAACAACTGTCATGGCCCACACCTGCACTGCGAAAAAAGGATTGCGTTGTTGAAAAGTTCTTGAAGGTCTTACATTTTCTACAGGCCTTTTACATAAGGCAAATATATTACCATGCAATTTCAATAAATATTGTTATAATTTTATTAAATTCTAATTTTAAAAGTGAAGTTTCTTTTTTTTTGCTTTTCTTAAAACAAAGTATGAGAAACAATATCCCCAGAATTAAATGATATATCTTTAAATTGTTAGGACCTTTTTTTTCCTTTTTCCTATTTTAGTTGGTATATTTTCTCTTTGTATACCGATTCATACAGTTGGTAATCGATGTGCAGCTACCAAAATGAACCAGCACGACATTAAATGTCAAAGCTTAAGCACTGCTGCCATTTATAGATCATTAAGCATATCCGCCCAATCCCCCAAATGGATTCAACTGTCACTCACTTGCCACAACATGTTGTACTCAATACCGCCGGCCTCCTCCTATTTGCAGTGTCCTGCAGCACGGTGACGGTGACCAAGTGCCAGGCGGCCCTTCGCACCCTGCAGGCCTTCCAGTTCTTCCGGCCCACCTGCCTGTGCAAGGAGCCCGGAATGGATCCCGATTGCAACCACTTCCGGGACTTTCTCTTCGATCATCCATGCGGATTTGTGCTGAAGAAAGGTGGGTCTGCACAGGACTTTCTTAAAAAGTATCGCCATTCTAACTGATTTTTGTATTTATATCGCTAGCCGAGAAGGATCCTTATCCCATTGATGCACTACCAACTTGCAACCATGCGCTTTCCGTCTGCCAACAGGAACGCAAATGCCTGAAGCTCTTCGAGGACTTTAAAACGCATTGCAAAGTGCGCGACAACAAGTGCAAAATGGAAAACAGGTGAGTTAATAGCTAAGAAGTTGTCAGAAGTTTTATTTTCTATTACCTGTAAGGATTTTATTATTTAAAATTTAATTCAATACGATATGTAAGTTTTTTGGGAGGCCTCAAAAACTGATGCGAGTTCTTTTATGAATATATCATTGCAAATTAAATTACAATCAGCCCTTTTTAATTGCCTAAAACACAGTAACGATTCAAGAAAAAATTTAATTGCACCGAAAAGTATTAGTTTCCAATCCAATAATTTAGTCCTTTTCAAAGAACCCGATGCTGAAAAATTGATATGACACGCATTAAGGGTTTAATTACCCCTGCCTTGCTAACCACATTCAAAAATCCATATCGATAAAAAATTCATATCAACATTGTCAGCCCTTTTTAGACCACAGAACGAGCGGAGATAATTAGTTAGTGACCCAATTTCAGATGATTACGTTAAAAAAACAAGAACAAAAAGGCTTTAAAACCGAACTATCATTACTCTGAAAGACAATACCTTCAATTAATAGCTCAATTTTGTGGCGTTTCGATTAAAGTATGAAGTAAATTATGAAAATGGAAAATCGAAGTCCAATACCAAGAGCCAATTCCGATAATGAAAATTAAATTAAAGCGTGTTTGACTTAATAAGAAAATTGATTTGCTCCATGCCGCAGCGTGGTCGTGCCGCTTAATGGTTAACGGCAAATGCAAATTGCATTGGCAGTTGGCAAAAGGCATGGAGTGGTTTGGTCTGGAGTGTGCCCACCTGTCCCACTATCCGGGGTTAAAAAGGAAAGGAGGGGGTGGTTTGCCCACCCCACCAGCCGCCTTGCAACATTCAATTTCGATATTCGATTTTATTGGCAAAAAACACAACGCATACAGCAGACAGCAGCGTAAACAGGAGTCAAGTTGAGCGAACAGAAGGCGAAATGAAACTTCCTGCTTGCCGGCATCTTGCTGCTTCCTTTAGCCATCACATATCCTTACTGACGCGATTTCCTCCCTGCCAGGACTCGTCTGGCTCATTGCCTCATTGCCTCAATGGCTCGATGGCTCGATGGCTCCTTGCCTCGATACACTCGAATACAAACGTTCTGAATGTTTTAATAACTCGAAATGACTTTTTGCGGCGGCAGTTGGGAGTTGGGCGCTGGGAGTTGACTTCAGTGCAGACTTTCCAACTTGGTCTTAAAGTTCTCCACTACAACACAGCCCACTTTATCCCTCAAACCCAGCCTAAAACTTTCCGCACGCATGCCAGGCATTCTGGCTGCGGGTTTTTGGTTCGGGTTGAGATCCACCTATGCGATAAAATATTAATTGCAGCACCGTGTGGATGCACTGGGAAAAACTAAGGTTCTAATTTTATAAATTTAGAAAATATTAAATACAAGTTTTCCCCTAAAACTAAGAAGAAAGGTCTAATATATTTATGTTCTTTAGCCTTTTTTTATTTAAATGCCTTATATTTTGTAATAATAAGGTAAAATCTATCTTGTTTTCACTTCTAGCAATCCATAAAATTTTAGAAAATTTTACTAGAATTATTTTTTTTGGATTTTTTTATTTTTAAAATTTTTTCAAACGCAGGAGATCAAATTTCTCAAGGTGCACATGCATTTTTGATGTAATTGGCAATTTTAAACTTTGCATGCCCCGAACGGAAGTCGCTGGCGATGCGGCTTCGGTTGCGGCGGTTGGGGACTCGAAATGAATTCAATTAGCCGGGGTTTGGAAGACGAAACTTAGACCCCATTTTGGATGGAGAATATGTATATGAGTATAACCCTGGCTATCATCGCTTTCGTTGCAGGGACGCCTGTCACGATTCCTGGACCAACCTGCGGCTGTCGCCCATGTTCGGATGCATCTGCCCGAACAACCATATGAAAAAGCGCTGTGATCGTATCTTTAATATTGTTAATCACAATCCGTGTGTGGGTAAGTTTCGACTGGCGTTGCTCAACTGTTGACCGTGACTGCAAAAAACAACTATAATAACAACAGCCAATAACAATAACTACAACAAGCAACAACACAAACAGCTGAGAGTAAAAAAGACAAGAAGCAATTGCTTTTAAGATCGTGGATAAACTATATAGTTTTTGTTTTCATTGTCCTCTGTTCTTATGTGTCTCTCTTTCTCTGTCAACCTCTGGTATCCAAGTTCTTGTGTTACTTCTTATGCGTACGGTAAATGATGATCACCATTACCTGCCTAAATCGAAACCGATTTGATACGTTCTTTAGTGACTTTTGATTTGGTTTTCCGTTTCCGTTTCTGTTTCCATTTCCGTTTCCTTTGGTTATTGTAATTTTGTGAAACGCTCAAAAACCGAAACTAGCCTAACCATTTAAGTAAACCTAAACAAAAACCAGAAACTAAACTATCGCACGCTTCTGCATCAAAAACCAACTAGAGAAAAACCCAAAATGAAACCCATGTTCTGCGATCAGTAAACAGTAATCAATATGCCTATATCCAATTTATATCATACTGTACGAACATTAGCTATGCTCAGTAAACCTAAATATCACGTATACGAATGTATATCAATGTAAACCAAAGCTGCCGTGCTATCTCTCTCTATCTCTCTCTCTCTACCTATACCTATCTCTCTCTCGCTCTCTATCTGTCACTTAACCAAAGTTTGTTGTAGCTGTAAGCTATCCTGGCCATAACTACATACAGTCACTCGCTAAAGTTAACCGCCACCCAGCGAACTGAGTCTGTGCTTTAGATTGATTGCACCCAAAAAAGAACACCACTTCTAGAACTAACTCTCTCTAACCCCTAGTTATAAGTCGAACGCTAGATCAAGCTATACTAACCAAACACACTCTCTGTCCTGTCATTTCGCTATTTAATGTGCAGGAGTAGGGCTAGAATAATAAACTCGGTCGGATGAAAGCTTTGATTTCCCCCCCACTACGCCAGACCACGAAAACAAGTCTTTAAAGCATAATTTCATTTTCCACTTCACCCGACCACCTGCACTAATGGATTAACAGCACCCCAGAGCAGAATGATCCCATTCTCTCGTTTCGCTGAATTTTATTATACAAGTACACACTAATTGCACTAATTAAATACCCGCGCACACCCACTCACACACACACACACCTCTACAAACTTGGTTTAATAGCAACAATTTGCACCGCACTGGCACTAAATGTTTTTCTCTATTCTTCCGCACGCATGCCCCCTTTGGTATTACCAACATCCCCGCCCAAATACCCCCCCTTCCCACTTTCAGATAGACTAATATTTTTCCCCAACGGTCTGCCCAAATTGAAGCAACAGAGACCAAAGGCAAAGCCGCGGCCCAAACCGAAACCCAAAGCGAAACCGAAACCCAAGCCGAGGCAAAAGCACCATGGCATCAATGGCACGGAGCTCATGACCAACAATATCGAATACCATGATGAGCCCAACGGACTGAACGATCCGGAGGACGAGGCCAATGAGACGGAGGACGAGGATCCCGATGGGGATGGTAATGGTACTGGGGATGCTGATGATGATGACGAGGAGGAGGACGACGATTATGATGACCGCATACGAGCCGAGATTTATTCGAATTACCCGCACTACCTGCATCCACCGTCGTGGGGGATTAACAATCCCCTGGTCCTCGCCTCGCACAGTCCGCACACTCTGGACGATGACGATGACGTGGTGGTGGAGGTGGTGACCAACAGGAAGCCACCATCGTCCAACCACCACCACAACGATGAGCTGGAGCACGACGTGGTCGTGGTGGTGGATGCCGGACCCCACTCCCACTCGCATCCGCACCAGCACACCTACTACAGCCACGGCGATCAGAGCTCCACGACGGGATCTGGACCACCGGGTCCGGCACCCACGATTCCCAGCCCACCTAAGTATGCGGCTGGCCCAAGTTGCAAAAGTTCTCTATCCCCCCTCGGTTCTGACTTAAGTTGGCATCTTCGACTGGCAAACTTTTAGTTTTTTTGCAGTTCCAGAAAGTTTAGAACCCGCACACACATATGTGTGTGATTGCTGAAAAGACCGCCTCCCCCCTTTCATTAACTCCGGTCTTAACTACCGAGGAGCTGAAAACTTTATGCAAAAAGCTTTTAAAATAATTGACTCACTTGGGTATGCCACAATTTCCGGTTAAAAAGCCAACTAATGAATAAGTCCAGTACGAAGCACTCGTACTAATCGGCTCCCAGGGCACTTGTCGAGCATTTATATAATCTGATTTTAATGCATTGCATCTTCGTAAATATAGCAGTCGAGTCCAAGTCCTAGTCCAAGTCCTACCTAGAGACAGAATTAATTTATAATGCCAGTCAGGGCAAGAAGTGCAGACATCCAATGGTTTGGGGGGGGGGGGGGGCTATAACCTTCGGCTCCTCAGCTTGGTAATTGGCTATTGTATTCGTAATGCCCTAAGCCGATTAATGCCCACCTTAAGTCAGTTTCTTTCCGTAACAAACGAGATTTATGTAATTTGCTAAATCTACTTATGCATTTGGTTGTTTAGTTTGCACCCCACAAAAACAACACCCACTTTAACCCCACTGAGCACTCTGTTTTGTAATTTGCACTTAATTATCTGTACAACTCTGCAATTTATTCAGCACTGGCACCAAAATGCACAAAACAGCACCACTCGGCGATTTAGTTGCCGGCAGCGATATAACCCACCGCACCTACACAGGACCCTCGATGGAGGAACGAGGTGAGTTCACTAATTGCACTTAGCCAGGCTGGCCTGTAATTTAATCCGCACGCCCCTGGCCATTTGAAATAAATATGGAAACGATTGCTGCTAAATTATGAGAGCTATTTATATATTAGTTGGGCTATTTACGGGCCAGGGAAATGATAATCTCAATTTGACCGACTATTAGCAGAGACAAATCGATTTGCAAGCCCATTTGGTGTGTTCTTTTGAGAGGAGTAAAGGGGGATGTATTAATATCATTTTGCCTATTTATTACAGTGTATAGAATATCGGAGTTGGTATAAATAGCAGGTTAGTAGCACAGTGAGACAATTATTGGAAAAAATATATTTTTTATAGAAAATCAATGCGCTTTCAATGTTAATTTATGCTATTTAATTTAATACTTTTATAGTTAGTTATTGGAGGAAAAAGTATTTTTGAAAATGTATTCATTTCATTAATAACGCTTAAAATATATATGGTGAAATCAGGGGTAACTTTGTATTTTTAATTAATTCAGGAAAAGTTCTTTCCCTTGTCATTATAAATTTATTTTTAGTAGCTTCCATTTTATTCGTTGTTTGCATGTGAAGAAAGGGTAATAATTGCTTTGACCTGCCAAAATGTTCTAAAGTCCTATCTCAGTGGGTCACATTTAATTCAAATTAAATATTTATGCACTGCGAATGAGAAATGAAGCCAAGGGTCAGGTCGTAAATTAGACAATTGGCGTGTAAGTAAGTATTCCGCAAGGAGCAAGATGAATTTAAGCGCACCGAGAAGCACTCGAATGCCCCACTCTCTACCCCCCTCTCTTTCTGGCACAATTTGCACCACTATCGCCGTCTCCCTCTCACACATCTCACCCTCTCGCTCTCACACTCTGTTCAAAAGCTTATTAGGCAAACAAAGCTGGCAAACTCGAGCGTTCTGGCCAGGCCAACAGGCGTCCTTTGTTGTTTGCAGCTCGCTCCATGGCATTAGCTATCTGCAGGGGCAATCAGTTGCAGTTCCATGAATGCACAGATACTCCACACACACACACACACAGACACGCAGCGCACACTCACACAGCCCCACGAATATCCTTATGCAATGCACACAAGTGCCATAAATAAGCATTTCGACCCCTTAACGCGTCATCAAAAAGCAAAAACCAAGAACTGTAACCCTGCACTCCACTGTGGCTTTTGGTTTATTGGTATTCTATTCTAATTAATATACACAGTACACTGAGAAAAGGAAATTCAAGAGGCAGAATCAAATTATTGTAGTTTATAAAAATTTTATGGACTCGGAATCGGTAATATGCCAATAAGGGATTAAGAAGAAACAACGATTAGATGACAAAGTTATCAAAACCGGTCTGTCAAACAGAAAAGTGATTAAAAATAAAATTAATCTGAAGTTTCACAACCCATCTACTTTCTACCATTTGTCGGAAAAAAAACAAAATTCTTACTTTTTGTTCTTGATATCAAGAACATTTCTTCTCGAAAAAAAACATTATTATCACTTATTATTCTTTATATCATGAACGTTTCTTCTCGAAAAAAAAATTCTTACTTTTTGTTCCTGATATCAAGAACGTTTCTTCTCAAATAGAAGACAAAACCTAAATATTCCGAGGCGCACTTTTAAGTATAAACGTTTTTGCTAAAAAGTTTCTGTTATAAACAAAAATATTACAAAATGTTGTTCTACATAATATTGCAATGTTTTAACTGATTTTAAAGTCAACCAATACAAGGCAAAAGTTGCTATTAAAATGAAGACTTTTGCCTCTTGAATTCTTTTTTTCTATCCAGTCATGTTAAGTTTTCCCCCATCGTTTGCTGCTTACTTACAGACTCGGTAATTTCACCCAACACAATAAAACAGACTGCCTGCAATTGTTAATGGCCTAATCAATGCATCCTCTCTTGTTTGGCCCTTTGATTGTCGTTGTTGCGCATCCGGTTTTTATTTATTGCCACAGATTTCACTTGCCATTTGACGACGGCCGTCCATCATCATCGATGGTGTTTTGTTTCCAACACGCTGCACTCGGCAATCTGCTCGACAAAGTTATAAATTCCCCAGCCTGCATGCTGCATGCTGCATTGTGCACTTCTGCATACAGCTTTGTCTATTGTTGCAGCTGCCGAGCCATGGGATTGCTGTAAATATTAGCAAACTATTTATGCACGTCAAGCGCGCACGCACACACACTCCGATTTCCCGATTTGCATACATTTTCACCGACACTTGCCTTATTTACGTTTATGGCGACCAGTAAATTAACAACACAAGCAGCCACAACAATAAGCCCGAATATGGCGGAGTTATCTGATTTTTGGGTGAATTTTTGGGCCCAATGCAGTCAGAGATATGCATAAATATCGAAGCTAAAGGCAGTTGAGATTCGGTGACGCTTTTTATTTGAGCTGCTTTATTTAAATTGAATTGTTATTGTTGCTGATTGGATTCTCAAATGCAAAGCATAAACATTGTCAATGGCCTCGAGGGCTTTAAAATTTCCAAAATGACAGCAACAATATCACTATGTAGTCAGTATATTTGCATAGAGCAACAATGGCAGATGAAAATAAATAAACAATGTAGGGATTTATGACTTAGCTGGCGTCGCTTTTGTTACCTTATAAAGTAGTGAACGATTTTAAGGCCATCTATAAAATAAATTCGTTAGTTTGTATAAAACAAAATAATTTGTAGTAATATCACATTGACAGTATATAGTAAAATAATTGATAATAATATCAAGGTAACCAAATCAACTTCTAAAATATGATCCCAAGAATCCTAGAATATCCTTCTCATCGAAGGTTAGTGTTGATCTTAACTTCCTAACCAGAATAGTTTTGTTAGCAGTGAACAATTTAATAGTACAGTTCCCACACACTCCCCGGATAATGGGTATCACATCTATAATAATTAAGCTGAGCGTTCAATTTGAAAATTTAATTAAGCACAACTAAAAAGCAAATAAAGCGATTTGTCAGCATTGCGCCAACAACAAAACGAAGCAAACACGCTTGCCAAGCACACCCTTGCACCTCACCCACCACCCACAACTAAGCACCCAGAACCACCCTGCACCGCCCAGCGCACCCCACCACCCACATAGCTATGTATATCTATGGGATACATTCTATATATATGTACGATGTTTGCGTGCAATAAATATTTTCATAATATTGTACAATCCACTTAGAAGTAGCAGAGGGCGATGTTGATGCCACAAACCATTCTGCTGCCGCCATTCCAAGCACCTATGTATGCCCCAGTGTTAGTGTGCGCTTGCATGTGAGTGTGTGTCGGTGTGCGTATCTGTGTGTGATGCAGCTGCTCACGGCTTTCCCAATTAGGGCATGAAAACCACGGCTATTTGATATGGCAGTCGTAGACCGTAGTCGGCAAACATATTCGCGTTTCTAGCATTACACGCATTTGGCCAGAATGTAATTTTCAAATTATTGCACATTCCCCCAAAATTTATTTCCATTGTTTATGAGTTTGTTTAAATTTCGCGCACAGTATCTTTATCTATGTATCTGTATTCAGTATCCTGTACATTGGGATGTTTACATTCAACTTTATAGAAACTTTGCGCTTTGGTTTAATGTTAAATGGCATGCAATGACCCCCAAGTGCAGCGGATGCTGAAACGTTTTGTATGGCAGCCAACGCGGCGTATACGCAACAATTAGATGACACAGATCCACAGATCCACTCAACGACAGGAGGAGCTTACAAGCGCGATAACAGTTAACAAACGGAGCTAATCCCATTCAAGCAACCCTCCCAAGACATCCATTCCTCCGCTCCGCTCCGTTCTGTTCTGTTATGTTCTGTTCTGTTTGTTGTGCAAATATTTGCGATGGCAGTGGGAGCGACAAACATAAGTACGTCGCACGTATCCTGGCAAATCCTTGGCCATTTAGCGCCAGCAGTGGACCCTCCAACAGACATTCCTGCGCGGAGGTGGGCGTGGCCCTGGGATTGGCATCCTTTTGAGCTTTGCCAGACGCCGCAAATGAAGCGCACTTCGGCGTGCTCTCGGCGAGATAAGCCAAAATGCCACTGACACAAAAAATGTTGCTAAAGACGACTCTTTATTTATAGGTTATATACCTACCTTTAGGAAATCTCAAGGGATAAAGGCGTTATGTGACTCTTATACAGGCATTATATTTTATTAGGGTAATCATTTAAATAATAGAAGCTTAGAGCTAAAGAAGAGATCTTAAGCTGCCTTACAGAAATATCTGTAAATAGTATTTATTTCATATTTTTTCAGGAATTACAGAATATTACAAATACTTTTTAAATATAGATTGTATAAAAAAAACTTATTAGAGATTTTTTTTATTTTGAAATTTAACCTAACTAAAAATAAAAAAAAATTTAAGGAATTTCCACATTTATTAGACAATGCATTTTGTTTATTTCAATTCAAAATTTACGAATCAAAATAAACTATTTTTTATGACAATTAAAAAAATCCAAAAATTGCATATATTTAAAAATAACAATTATTAATTTTTCTACAGGGACCTTTAAAAATTGGAAGGGGTCATATAGTACGGCATGGGGCTTAGATTACAGATTCACAATAAATATAAATATATAAGTTTTCTCAGAAACTTTTCTTGTATAGCTTGATTTTGATAACTAGATATGCTGTGACATGAAATATTATGTAATTTTAGAAAGAAATGTTATATTTTCCCGAGTGTGGAAGCTGATAGCGAAGCTACTTCTGCGGTTGCAAACCGTTTTGAGCCCGACCCGTTTGCCATTTGGCCGCTCTATCAGCGCATGACATTTGACAGACAGTCAGGCATTCAGACATTCCGACAGTCAGTCAGACAGACAGTCAGAGACACAGGACGGGGCGCTTCTGTTTGTCTTCTGTTTATGTTTTGCCATTGGTATTGATAGCAAATGGCAATCGGAGCGTGGCGAGACGCAAAACCTGCAATGGCAATCGATTGGGGGGCTAAAAACAATTCGGAAAGCGATTCTGTTTCTCTTACATTTACAATGCAAAACGTTTCACTCGTCTGCCCTGCCCTGCACTAATTTTGAACGATAATTGTTGGCACCGTATTTTCCACACTCTCCTCTGTACGTTTGTTCAAGATTTTCCGTCTCTTTTCGTTGACACTATCTGTATCAGTTTTCTATCCGAATGGAAATTCTTTCGTTTCGCCATTCGAATCAATATCGTTTTCTTTTCAAGCGTTTTCTTTTTCCTTCTTGTTTTTACATATACGTACAATAAAAAAAAAAATATAGTATACTAATAGCAATAAAATTGATTGTAAGAAAGCCAAATGCTACAGCAAAATATATACAGAAATTTATGCGATTCTGATTGGATAACTCAAATGCTGCGTAGCTGCTAGCTGCAAGCTGCAACTACAGTCACAACAGTAACTCCAAGTACAACAACATCAAATCAAACAACTATATAGATGGCACTGAACAACAACAACAAGAACAACAACCAACAACCAACCAACCACAACTACAACTACAACCATTCTACCCTCTTTCTTCTTGCTAACCTCAAATTGCAGTAAGAATATTGGGCATGGACGAGAAACTGCATCAGAGAATCTTCAATGATAATTTGGCCCTAATTGATACGCCACTAATAGTGATGGGTTCCGGTTCCGGCACGGTCACCACATCCGGCTCCGGTTCCGCTTCCGGTTCCGGTTACGGCCTGGCCATGGGCATGGGCATAGGCCTGTCCGGCAGCTTTAACTATCCGGGCTCGATGCACGGCGTGCCCAGCTATCCGTTCAATATAAGCGGCTTCCATCAGCGGCACATGGCAGCGGCGGCTGTCGATAATGAACCATTCGATATCATTGATACGGGCTTGGGCTACGGCGGAAACGGAAATGCCGGTGTTTACTACCAAAGTATGTGTACACGTATTAGCATGAACGTAATCCATAAATAACAAATTCCACGACCAACTAACTGCAAAACCAACCAAGCAAAAAATTTCAAAATAAATATATATATACCAATACCATATATATATATATATATATATGTATGTATAATAAATACGCAGCCGTACACACAGCCAACCAAATCCAGATATGTGTGTGCAAACTCGTAGAACTAATTAACAGGCAAAAAGTTCGTTGTTTCATTTTGTTCGTTCGTTCACCATTTTAGATAGATTTTTGTGAATTTATTTATGATTTCCGTTCTGTGTCGTCCCCCTGTAACCAAAAACACCCCCGAGTTGCAGGTAAATTTTTGATAAAACCATCGAGTTCATTCCAATTTTTGCTTATGTGTTGAAGGTGAATACATACTATACGATACTATATATATAAATATACAAATTGGCGCGACCCGTGCGCCACTTGGCTTTGTGCATAATTTTTGGCAATTGCTCAACAAAAAACAAAAGATACCTAACAAACAGTTTATACTTAACAATTTCTATACAAATATTAATATTTACATATCTCGAACTCTTTCAATTGCTTTTGTGTTCAATTCTTTTTACGTAGCTTGCCATTTGTTTTGAGAGTTTTTTGAAATTTTCCTACAAGAAATGTACCAAAAACAAATTTAAAACAATCAATTTGCTTCCAATGCGTTAAAAATCAATTCTTTTCTATGAATTTTGTTTGTCATTTTGTTTATATAACAGAAAAATCTAGAAAACTCAAATGAAATTAGTAAACTGTATACAAGTTGTGAATATTTTCGATACTAACTCTTTCGTATGTTAAGTGAGCAAAATGAAAACCCTAAACAAAACCAAAACCTAAACAAAATTCATTTAATTTTTTCCTAAAAATATATATTTAAACTTAAACCAAACAAAAATGAAATCCAAAAAAAATTTTGTTCAATTCAATTCCAGCACACTTTTTCAAATTTTTTCCAACGCACCCAGTTTTTGAATCCAAAACAATTACAGTTACTACACTCAAACATATCAACTAAAGCGTTTTCGATCTAATTTTTTGAGATCCAAGCCATCGTTCAGACCCCTTCAAGTGCAAACCTTTGTGTCATACATCCAACATTCAAGTTCACAAGACATCGAGCTCATTGTTTCATACAACAAAGCCACCGAAACATCAAAAACTTCCCTCGCCAGGACTTTTGTTCCACATAATTTCAAAAAACAAACTGAGGTTGAATTCGCTAAAAGCAGTCGCGAAATTCCCCCCTCAAAGAAGAAACATACAAATTGATTTTGTTAAGACATTTTCGTTCGCTTTTCCGCCGCCGCTCGACTTTCTGTTTGGCTTATTCCATTTTCCGTTTGAAATCTAATTATTTGCGTTTACATTCGTACCTTTTTTTTATTATTGAAAGCATAAATTCATTTTATTTCTGCTGAGTCTGCAGCAAAGCGTTTGCATTTTCCTTTCAAAGACCACACTCACATACACACCCAGAGTACTGAAAACCAATAAAGTATGCCAAAGAAACACATTCTCACAGTCGTCAGAACATTAGCATAGAATCATGAGTCCCCAGGCTGGGACCCCGAGAAAGCCTGATAAATAAATCATACCCCTCCATTTAAATACACAGCCTCCAAGGAGTACAGTCTTACGCTAGAATATCGTTGCCGATCCAGAAAACAGAATAATTTTTATCAGTAGGTTTGGTAGTTTTTAAAGTCGAAACCAATAAATAAAATGTTAAACTTATTCTTCTCATAAAAATATATATATACATATATACCTCATATATAGAACTTAGTTGTGTTTTGCCAGCCCTGCAGACCCTGCGACCACGCCCCTAAAAATGTTGAAAGTATTATCCCCGAACTCCCCAATTGATTCTCACAATCTCTTCGCCTCTCCCCCGGATTCCAGTAATAGGCAATAAACAAATTTGTGGAATATTTGCATTTAATTTACGTTATTTATGTGCATTTTTGTTATTTTAATTTCATAATTTCGATCATTTTTTGTGCCGGCTCAAGGGGCCGGGATGCGGGGTACGGGGTGTGGGTTGTGGGTTGCGGGGCCATTTGAACGTTTTGTGATTACCAATTGAAACTGAAGAGCGAACAAAAAGTTGGTTAATTAAAATGCAATCGATAACTGCTGCTGCCGCCGCCCGAACCAACCAGCGACCGTGATTGATATTCCGATTGAAAGGCGGTTATGGAAATGGTATAGTAATTGAGTTATGATTAGGCCCATGGGCTTTGGGCTCTCAATAATCGAAACCACTTTTCTGGCCTTCAGTTAGGCAGCGAGCACAGCCTCATGTGTGAATCACACCTGAATCCCCATAAATAAATAAGCCAATTGAGAGTGAATAGGCTAAAACGGATATAAATAATGAAATTAATTAAGACCATGCGTGCTGCCAATGAATTCAGCATTTTAATTAGTTCTAAATGCCATACACTCACTCTCGATTGGCGTAATCAGCGATTTTACAATTTATTCCAACAAAAAGCCGGATGATTGAGCCTAAACCAAACCCAATTGGATTAAACCAGACTAATGCAGTTCACCAAGTTGGTTGGCGACAGGCGGTGCAGGTTTTTCGGGTGTGCGATTGCGATTGCGATTGCCGGTAGAAAGCGAGTGCCAAATCCGTATCCGAATCGAATATGCTGGAAAAGGGTTGCGCAAATCGAAAACTAATGAACTATTTCAAACATTTTCTCTACGCATCTCCGCTGCGGTCACCATTTCCATTCAACGACAAATCCCCACTCGATCGTCTCCCCGGGGCAACATTTGCTCGATGCGAATGCAAATGCAAATGCGACTGACACACTTGGGCACGTTTGGCCGGTTGCAGGTGGTCAGGATGTCGAAGTTGACCTCTCAACGGAAATAATCAAGCAACACTTTCAGGTGAGTGCAAAGAAAAGCCCCCAAAACGAGGCATGGAAAATGCAAAGTGCAGCTCACACAATTTGTAGCGTTTATTACGATGCACTGTGAAAAATTATATTCCATTTTCATGATTCAGAGAATTTAAGAGAACTATCCTAAATACCCAAATAAACTTGTCCAAAAGATATCCGTAATTAATTTGATTCTTTCGGAAGCTTCTGTTTTTTATTTTACAATTTAAAATACACACAGCTTTCTAAAAAATAAATAAAATAAAATATCCAAAATATATTAAAATATTTAAAAAAATATTTCTTCTCTTTGATTTCATAAATATTTTTTATTATTATTATAATATTGTAGTAAATCATAAGAAATACTTCTTTCATATGTTTTGTTTTCATTTCAAGAATTATTTTGCAGTGTGACCATATTCTCGAGATTTCTAAGAGCTTTACTGCTGGACTTTATTATAATAAATACAAAAGACAAACAAAACAGCTTTGAAAAACTATTTAAATAAATAGAAGAAATATTTAAACAACTAATTTTTACTACAGAATTTTATAATACATGCTTAAAAGAAGTTTCCAAATTTTCCAATTTTGTTATTTGTACTTCAATAATTATTTTGGAGTGGTACAATGATCTCTAGACTGTTAAGAACACCATTGCTGTTCCTGTACAACCCTAACCCTTTCTCGCCGTGTATTCCTCCCCGCAGAGTACCTGTCACACGGCATTGGACACTTGCCGGGAAGATCCGTCCTGCTCATCGTCCCTCCAGCCTATGCTGACGCACTGTGAGCTCCACCGGTGCAATCGCAACGCGTGCATGTCCTCGTTGCAGGCCTTCTACAAGGGTCCCCATGAGGACCTCAATCTGGACATCGCCTTTTGTCTCTGCAAGTAAGTGGCTGGGCAACCGAATGGTACTGGTACTGTTACTGGTACTGCCGATGGAACTGGAACTGTAGAGCCAACCCAACCATTCCATTGTTCCCTTGGTTTCAGAAAAACAAGCGGCGTCCAGCAGAACGGCAATGGCAATCGGCACGACATGTGCATGATTGCACAGGAAAAACTGCATCCAGTGTGCGCGCAGCGACCGCCCGATAACAGTAATCCGGCCAGCTCCAATGGCATTTACTACCATCCGCCGCCCGCCTGTCACGTGGTCGCCGACAGCTGCAAGGAGGACCGCGAGTGCAGGTGGGTTAAGGGTCATAATTCAAAAATCGGGCGTTAAGCGCTCAGCGTTGAGCGTTAAGCGGAACCGGAAATATGCGCGATGCAATGTATATTTCCCGACCGTGATGGTCGATACGTGCGGGCTATAAAGTTGCAGGGCTAACACTGCATTACCTTGGCTGCCCTGTTGTAATTTAAAATCAATACACCTTTAATTTATAGGTTTGCAAATAAATAGGTAAATAGGAATAAAGGTTATTAGATCTTAAGTGCGGTATTTATTTGATAAAGAGTCTTATAAAGGTATCTATATTAAGAATAGATATATATTTACACAATAAGTATAAATATGAATTTTCAAATATTAATTAAAAAGTATCTACAAATATTTAAGTTGAGATAAAAATATCACTAATATTCTCCAAAGCATTGATTTAAATTAATGTATTTCTAGGATCAGCTTAAATAAGTATGTTAAGTAAGGGTAGCGAACCATAAAATGTTGTAAACTAAATATATTTAACCAATATGAATACATTTTTTTTATTACCACCATTCCAAAAATCATATATGCATAGATTTAATGAATTTTCTTGACCATTAAATTTTTTTTTACTTTCTTAGAAACTGTAGTTATTTGTTTTGCTTTTCAAAATCTCTTATAAAGTTTATAGCTCTAATATCAAGACATGAACATATGAGGAACTGCCGAAACATGTTTTTAATTTATCCGCCAATTCAATTAAGCCAAATTGAATTTCGCAGACTTACTTAGTCTCGGGCGCGCCTTCATACTGAATTAGAGGCGTTCAGCCACGGCAAAGTCAGCGAAAGCCGCAACTTTGATGGCACTCAGCCGAACTCGTTAAATTGACACCGTGGCACGGGCTCCGTTTAGTTGGTTAGTTGGCTCTTGGCTGTTGGCTCTCGAAGTTGTAACGAGTCGCCACATTCAAATTAACTTCAGGCGGAGGTGGTACCGTGGTGGTCAAGCGCACGCGGGTCTAATCGGCTGGCTGCTTGTCGGCTGTGGAAGTGGATGAAAAATGCCTAACCCCATGAAGTGCCTATTTGTTAACGATAATTGAAATCTAACTTCGCGTGCTAGACAAGCTGAATTCGGAAATGAGCAACACCATATAAAATCGAACGGAAAGTCTAAAATTCCCCTAATACCCTAACCGAGTCTCACATTCGCCTCGTTAGATGTTTCCGAGGCTCTATCATGCCCACCCAACCATTGGCCGTTCTCTCCCACACGTCCGAACGACCCATCTATACGAGCTACCCTATCGAGGAATCATTCTAGCTGCGGCAACAGATTGATAATTTAGCGCATTACAAAAATTTATTACCAGCTAAAAAGAGTAAACAAAGAGAATACATATCTTAAATCTAAGCATGCAAGAGTATATAATGATACGATTCAGTTAAATGAGCATAATTTTAAAGGAAATTGTGATTTTTGCGGCGGAAATTCAATTCAAATTTACTTCATGACTTTATAATGCGAAGGGGTAAGAAACAATTAATCAAGAAGAATAAAACTGACAATAAAAAAATCGCAAGGAGAGGATTTGTCATCCGATTTTCAGACTGCAGGCCAATTGGGCAAAGTGTAATTTAGTTTTTTTTTTCTTCTTTTCTCTTTACATCGTCTTGAGTTTGTTTTCTGTTTTTTTTTTTAAATATAAAAATTTAGGCACTCACCGCTCACAGGAACATCCAACGAAGAAAGCGCTTTCACCGAAGATGTTAGTGGCTAGCTGCGGGAAAATATATGGATAATGATAAACTCAAAATGATTTAATTTACACGACCAGAATGCACTGCACAAAAAAAAAACCCGGACGTCGACTCTGCCTCCTTGCCCGATTTTAAATCGCTTCGCCATCAATCAACAAACAAATTCTTTTACATTAAACATTACACTTAACCTAACGTGTTGCATAACAATCGTTTTCCCTTGGCAGGTCTTTAACAAATTTCCATACTCTCTGGAGGTTAGGTCCGAATGTAAGGGCTCGCAAGTTCTCTCAAAACTGCTTCACCTGGGCGGGGTCGCAAAACCGATGGAGGGTTTAACTCTTTAGATTCCCCCCTTTGAACTTTATTTTAGTTCTACGGCATTTTACGGTGCAAATTCACGGCTCTTGCAGAAAAACTCCGCCGCGGTTCCGCGACGGACCGAACGTCTTACAGCGCGATCGAAATACTGCCCTTGGCTCTCGCTTAAACGACGAACGATGCCCAAGCAAAAGCTTTTATTTATAAGCTAGAAGACGAAAATGGTGATGTAGGTCGGGACTTCTCCTATCGCCCCAAAGGCAATGCTGCTGGCGGGGCCCGGAACTGGGCCTCTTTTCCGCTCCTCGACGTAGGTTTCTGAGCAGCTTGTCCGGCTCCAAATACCATAGGGGATGACCTCCACCGGTCTGAGCGAATACACGGCGGCCGCGCAGGCCGGCTAGTAGCTGCCGAATAAGCTCAACATTACTTACTCGACCTCAAACCTTGCGATCACGGCCAGAACTCACCCCAATCCGTAATCAATCTCCTAAATAGGTATTTCCTTTTCCTTTTTTCCCTTCCGGTGGCTCGCCAATATGAACAGGCTGATCAAGTCACTCGCGCTAAACTTTTGCGGGTTACACTCGTAAAGAAAATTTAACTTCTGCTTCCTTAGGCTGCCGAAACGGAAAAGACCGACTTTGACGCCACAATTCAGGCGGCAACCCAAATCACGGAGTATGAGGTGAAAAACTAGTCTTGAGAAAGCCTGACATTTGCCCCTGTTGCTCTCACTCATTCCGAAAACTGCAGCAGAACCTTTCTGCGCACGAATGCTAGATGGCGCCACCCCTGTATCTCTATGAAACACAGATGGAGCCGCTTCTGCTAAAGCAAGCGCTACAAAAATGCCCCCCCTTAAGATCATACTTGGGAGTCAGATTCCCAAGAATGAGCCTACCAGCGATTGCTGTGGACACGCTATTGTTTCATGTCCTTCGCATGATACCTTCCTATATATCTGCCCTGCAAATCCTCTAGATCGTAATAGGCCTGCCCGATTTTCCTTTTGACCCGAGCTTTAATAAATGCTGGTCCCAATTTGGCGTTGTAGCCGGCCTGGAAATTGCTTTGCCTGAAATTCCTCCTGAATATTTCCTGGCCCTCTTCATAGGATACCGGCCTCGAGCGCAGATTGTACTGTCGTTCATTTTTCTCGAACTGCTTTTTCATCACTTCCAACGCCTTATTGCGTACCAACTCAAATGAGTCCTTCCGCGAAAACGCCATGGTCCTGTCCTCTAGTAAGTTCAAGGCCCTCAGCAATTTAAAGGTTGCCCCTGACGCAATGAAGTGCTGGCCAAACACCATATAGTACGGAGTTGTCCCCAGGCTGGAATGGATCGCCGATCTGAGCGCACAGCAGATGCTGCTAAGTTGTTCATCCCAGTCTTTCTGATCGCTCCGTACATATGACCTAATGGCTGCAATGACAGACCGATTAACCCGTTCTGAAGCATTCGCTTGCGGTGAGTATACCGCCGTAAGGGTGTGAGAAATTCGGTATTCTCTAAGCAGCTTCTGAAACGCTTCAGACTTGAATTGCGACCCGTTGTCGGACACAATGGTCTCAGGAACCCCAAAAGTATGGAAAAGGTCTTGCTGCAAATACTTTACCACCACATCGGCTGTCAACTTCTTCACGGCTTTTAGGAACACGAACTTGCTATAATGATCCAAATTATGAAAATTCCGATATTGCCACTCCTCGAGCGAGGATAGGGCCTAGAAAATCCACGTACAACTTCTGGAAAGGTCTACTAGATTCTGGCTGCGCACCCATAGGTGGACGTAATGTCTTATTCGGTGCCTTTGTCGTTTTGCAAGTGATGCACCCTTCAATGTACTGTTGACGTCCCTTACCAGCCTGGCCAATAATAATATCGCTCAATCTTTCTAGCGTTTTGTGAACACCCCATGAGATGCCAAGGGGTCATTATGAGCCTTCTTCAAAGCCTCTGGAACCAAACCTTGAGGTACCCACAATTTCCAACAGAAGTTATCGTGAATAGCATCTCCTGAAGTGTGTTCCCCTCTCCGATACACTAGACCGTCTGATACTTTTAGATCCGGAAGCTTGTCAGCGTTGGCTCTACTCTCAAAATCAGCTCTAAGTAATCTGCATCCTTAAATGCGGCGAATCCAAGTCCACCAGTAATCCGTGACTAGCGTCTAATGCTGCTACTCTTCCTCATTTACCCTCGACAAAGCGTCCGGGACGACATTGAGCTTACCGCTTCGGTGTTCAATTTGAAGTTAAAAGCCTGCAACTTTAACGCCCATCGTGCTAACCGAGAGTGCAGATCTGTCTGTGACATAAGCCACTTCAAAGATGCGTGGTCAGTAACTATGGTGAACTCATGGCCTCTACGTATGCTCGGAAACGTTTAACGCATATAATGGAGCTAGACACTCCTGCTCAGTCACCGAATAATTTTTCTGCGCCTTATTCAGCTTTTTAGACACAAAGGCTATGGGGAATTCGTTCCCATTCTCGGATTTCTGTACTAGAACACCGCCACACCTGTCTTGCTCGCATCGCAATGGATGAAAAAAAGGTCGGCTGAAATCCGGGCTGCGCAATACTGGAGCTGAACTCAACATCTCTTTCAATTTTTCGAAAGCTGCTGTCCTTCTGGTGTCATCGAAAACTTCCTTTTCGGCTTCAATAGGTCAGTAAGGGGTGCTGAAACCGCAGCGAAATTGTTTACAAACTTTCGGTACATCCCACCATTCCCAAAACCTTCTAAGAGCTTTTAACGATTGGGCAATGGAAATTCCGTCATAGCAGCTATTTTCTCTGGGTCAGTACGTAAAACACCTTCACCTACAATATGCCAAGGTACTTCAGCTCTTCATGCAGAATTGCTTTTCTCCACATTCAGAGTTAGACCCGCTGATTTGATGCATCCTGCACTTCACTTAACACTTTCAATGCTCTCCAAACTGTC